GAATGTTTGCTCACTGGAGTGGGCACTTGTAAAAGGTACACTGAAATCACTCTCTTGAATATAAGGCACTTTGTGTAGATATTTGAGAAATGGTTCTTGTTTGTACAAAAAACAAAATAGCATTTATTTTACAAATCCCTCTTTTTTTCATGTTTAAAATTAATAAATGGAAGAATTAATGTGCACATATTGTAATTCTGCAATGAGACCTGCATGTCCAGATGTGTGCAGTAGGACAGGTGCGCTCAGATGAGTGCAGTAGGACAGGTGTCCCCAGATGAGAGCAGTAGAACAGGTGTGCTCAGATGAGTGCAGTAGTACAGGTGTGCTCAGATGATTGCAGTAGGCCTGGTGTGCTCAGATGAGTACGGTGTAATTCTCAGATGAGTATCTGAGAGAAAGAGAAACCCATGATAGCAAATAATGGGTTGTCTCCACTCCCAATGCACATTATTTAAAAAATACAATGGAAATAAAACCTAAGTCTGCTATATGTGTCTGGATATCATATATAATTGTGTTAGAGAAAAGTGAGTATCTTTAAAATCAATGGCTGTCCGGGTCCCTCATCAATAATAATTGTTTTGTAATATTGAACAGATGGTTCAGTAATAGCTTTCGCGGGTATGCCAGTCCGTGCACACCAGTATCTCGAGCGCGTCGGCGAGCAGTGCCTTTAAAAACGACACCGACCCCAAGTTCCGACTGATCAACACGGCCGTTCGCTGTGCATGTCTGTACAGGTATACGCGTGTGAGTTCAGTAGTTTGTTACAGCGGCAGCGCCTCTCACGCGCGTCGCCCGCCTCGCCAGCTGACCGGCGCGCAGCGCGGCCGGCACTGCCGGAATTCAAAAGGAGCAGGAGCCCTTTAAATACCGCCCACCACCAACTCGAACACGGGGGTGACAGACACACGCGTTCCTACATCGCGGGCTCAAGCGCACGCCGTGCGGTGACGGCGGCAGGGCGGTGTGGTGCTGCTCATTCCTGGCAGTAGCCTCTGCTGCACCCGGGGCTTCTCCGACCGGTCACAAGAGAAACACGAGTCCCCTTGCCGCCCTCCCCCCCCCCCCGAGGCGCGCCGGTGGTTGTGTCCACGCTGATAGAGGCTCGTGCGCCAGGCGGTGCTCAGCTGTCAGTGTGTCTGCGGCGCTGCTCTGTCCGCGTCTCTCGGTCTGTCTCACCCCTCTTTCAGCATTTTTATTGCCTCTGAAATTTTGCTTGGTGAGTACTTTCCCCCCTCTTCTAACATTTTCTTCTTCTTTTTCTTCTTCTTCTTCGTCTTCTTTTTTTATTTTTGTTAATTTGTTGATTTTGGTTTGTTTTTGCATTTAAGCCTTTCGTTCCAAGGTTTCGCTGGTCTCACGCAATCTCTTTTTTTTATTATTTTTTAATTTTTAACGCATTTCGCCTTTTGGGTAGCAGATGATATTGCTGTTATGATTACGGTGTGTCGATACATGAAGAGCACGATTGTGCGGGGTTTTTTTTTCGTTTGTTAAGGAGTACCTATAAAGACTTTAAAATAATAATCTGTTTCGAGGAGGAACTAAATTGTTTTGTTTTTTCTTTTGTGTAACATTTTTCATGTTAACTCACTCTTTTGAGCCCATGGAGACATGAACATTCCTTTGCTGCTATTGAAATGTCTTTTTTACATTTTTTTTCTTTACAGTAACGGTACCAAAGGTATACTTTGTCTCGCAGTGTAATATTCTTGTTTCTTCTACGCTCCTGTTCAGTGCAATGGTGACGGAGCCAGTCCGTTGAATATTAAGAAATGCACTTGAATGAAAGTTCCTTGAGATTTTCTTCTCTTTCTTAAGACATGCACGGCCAAGGTGCTGAAAAGGAATCATTTTGTACAATGAATGGGAAATTGTTGTCTTGAATCTCCGTGCACCGCCCTCATTCCCCTGTTTTTTTTTTGTCTTTTTCTTATAATATTTCGCCTCACAACGTGCGGGGGGAAATTTCATCATGCTGTGCTTTTAAGATTTTGAAAAAGCAGGCAAGTCGACCACCGGGAAACAGACAAAACAGGAGAGAGAAAAAAACACCCCAAGTTAAGCCCGTTTTCCAATGCTTGGACGGTGTGTACTTGATCGCCTCGCTGTCAGGTGCCAGCGCAGAGCTGTGCTCTTTACTGACCGTGTGCTGAACTGCAGCATTCGGCGAAATCCGGTAATTTGTGCTTCCTTTTGCCTTATTATTATTGTATTGTTGCTGTTGCTATTGTGTTGCTGCTATTATTAAATATATACACAAATACAGTATGTCCCTCCCCCGTCTCTCCCCTCTGTCAGACGATGACTTACACGTACTGGCGGTTCTGATCACTTCAGTGCGCTTTTCCCCCACATGCTTCGTACCTGTGTCCCCCTGAACAAATCGCCCGGTCCGGGGAGCCGGGGAGCCGGGGAGCCGGGGTTGATATTTTTAATTAAGGATATAAGCGTGCCTCCGGAGTCCGCCGATCAGAGGAGCACCGACTCTCGCCAAGGAGATAAATGCGCGCCTCCCGTCGCTTTCGCGGTGACCCGGACGCGGCGGTGTCGTCGCGGTCGCCCGGCAGGGCCAGATCCGGGTGCCTGGGGGGCGCCGGTTCGGCCTGCGGGTCCGGGGCAGCCGGGCGGGTGGAACCGGCTCCGTCCCCTCCCGGGCGGCCGCACGGCCGGGCGGACGGGAGACGCAGCCGGAAGCTGCTGCATGTGGAGAAAGCCCGGCGTCTCGGCCAGCCGGGCGCCCCCGCCGCCGCTCAGCCGCCTACCTCGGCGCACCAGGCAGCGCGGTGTTTTCCCCGCTGGCTTGCTCCTTGGGACGCGCCGGTTTTGTCGTGTTCCGCCCCCCGCTCCCGGGACAGCCCTAAGACAGATCAAAGTCACAGGTTCGGGGTTTATTCTGGGGTGCTTCTAATGACCAGCAGCCTTCAGTGCGGTTTTCCAGTCCGAAAATGAATCCCCTCATAAAGTAAATTATAGATGTATTGCCAGTTGTCCGTCGTAGATCATTAATGTATTTTTCCTACCGATAGCCGACAGCCTCATCTGAGTTACAAGCTTTAACTGGGAGTCATTTTTTGCTCTTTAGATGTTTAAGAACATCACCTCATTATGGTGCTTTTTTAATCATTTATTAACCAGGGTGAGCACTGATCTCAGTGCTGTGCAGCTGAAGAGCAGAAACCCACAATATGCCCCACAGCTGTCCCTGCTGAAGATAGACTCCTTCTGCAGGAGTGATGCACATGCAGGCTGTGTGCGTGAAGCGATCCGTAGGCCAGCTTCTCCAAACGCCAGAGGAGTCTCTCCTGGAAGCGGTTCTCTCGCGGGGGCGCCGGGTCTTGATGTCTTTCCTCCAGCTTTCAGCTACTGAGCTGGACAGCTGCGGACATGTGCCTCTACCGGATGTGCTTGAAATCCCCTTTGAAAGTGTGTGTGTGGTGCTGCCCCGCTGCTTGAGAAGAAACGTTCGGGTCTGTTAAGCGAGAGCTCGGCGAGGAAGCAGTCCAGGTAGCCTGGCGTCCCAGGAGAGCTCCGAACCCGGAGCTTTCCTGCTGCCTGTTCGGCTGAAATCTGCAAAGGCCTTGACAGGGCTCCTGACCCGGTCCGGTCAGGCCTGAGCAGCGAAGCGAGGGATAGGAGACCCCAGGTGAGACAAGTTGTTATTACAAGTGTCTTTAGTGGACCAGTAGGTGGGTCCACTGTATCAGGACCACAATTTACAAACCAATACCCTAGCATGGTGACCGGGGGCAATAGGCGCTGTCTTCTGAATGAGATATTAAAACGTCCTGTATTCATGTCCCTATGAGTAGGGGTGTTTACCCTGGTGTTCTGGTTGTATCCCGTTCTGGGCCTGAACAGTCTGGTGCCCCTGAAGTTCCCTTGTAACTCAGCTGATGCAGCAGTTTCTCACTCCTCCCCCTGATCCACTCTGTCTCCCAGGTGGGGGCTGCTGGTGCAGAATGGCCGCTGTGTGTCTCCCAGGAGGGGCTGTATTTTAGTGCTTGGTTGGAGTGTGTCCCTCCTGGAATTAAAAGCTATATATAATTAAAATAAATTATATTTTTTTTTCGTACTTCTCAGTTTGGTAACATTTTGTTTATTTGAAAAAGAAAGTCTTGCTGTAGTGTTCCTTTGATTGCCTCCACTGTACTGCGTACTGAGAAGAGTGCTTTCTTCCTCTGCTCAGTGTCTCCTGGGAAAAGAACAAGGGCTGGACTAGGAGAAAGACTGTGCCCACCGCCAACTGGAAACGGGCTGGTTACAATCTGGAAATCGGTACCAACTAAAGAACCTGATCAATCAGACAATTTAGGGCAAGCCTTTGGAAGGGGCAGGATTGATCAGAATCTCAGCTGTCTGCCTCCATGATGCTGTCAGTCAGGCTTATCATAGTGAAGGCAGTGAGGGGAAAAAGCCCATTCAATGCATCTGGGTGTTTCCATCCTATAACACATAATTGTTTCCTGAAATAGTGTCTAAGCTGATCCAGAAGGATCTCAATGAATCTGCATCAGCCTGCTTCAGTAGAACAGTCTGCTAATCTGTCAGCGCTGTGATGGATGAGTCTCAGGAGCTACATCTATCCTAGCTTTTTGCACCAGAAGCATAATTTGTATAATTTCAGTGCGATGGAAATGAATTCTTTTAAGGCTGAATCAGTGTCGACACAGTTTGTTTTTATTTCAAGTGATCCTTCCCTTGACTCTCCCTGGCCCCCCAGGTCTTATGCATGATAAGACTATTTGAGCACGCAAGAAATCCACAATAAACAGGGAGTCTTTCCAGCTCGCATTGCCAAGTGCAGTGTGACCTGTGCATGTGTCAACATGTATACAGTATATAAGATGTTTGTTTTAGATGTGTGGTAGGAAACAAAGCAATACAGCACATTTATTGTGGAGATTTGAGGTCATATAAGTTAAAAAAAAAAGTTCCGCAAAAACCCCTGCTGCTTGAAGTGCAGTCAGCAGACAGCTGTTTTCTAAATGTAACTTCCTCCTGAAGGGTGATGAAGGCATCTGTTGTTTCTTAGGAGCAAAGTGTCAAAGCAGGAAATGAGTAATACCTGTGGAGTTTGTTCAGGATTGTTTGAAGACTGATCTCGGTTAAGCTACAGAGTGTAATCAGTCTTTGTGCTGCAGGAACCTGCAGTGTTTTGGATGGGGTTTCCTGTGTACCTCTTGTTCCAGGTTCGGTTCACCTTCGATATCAGGACCATTTCTCTCGGAACCAGAACAGTTTGATTCTTTCCATCATCAGTGCTTGTAGTGTTCTTGCTGTTTTAAACTTTTCTTTTGGTTGGGTGGATGTATGTGTTTCGATGGCTGCGTTCGCCTTCTGTCTGAGATGTTATCTGTCACAGCGTGGACGTTCAGCAGTGGCAGCAGGTGTTTATTAATGACCCGGGAGGGGTGCGTCTGCAGGATATACTGTATATTCAACAACTAATCAATTCATAAGTCCACCGTGTGTCAGGAAAATCCCCAAATAATCATTTATATAGTAAGTCTGACTGCAGTTATTTGGTCAATCTTGGTTAAGACACAGTGACTGCATCTGCATAACGAAAATCACCTTTTATTCTCTTTGTTTGAATGCTGTGAAAATCTGCTTGACCCCCGGCTGGCGGTGCCTTGCAGAGACACTTTGTCCTTGGCGAGAGCGGAGTGTGTGCTGGGGGTGGGGGGAGGCGTCCGTGGGTTCGACATTAAGGGAAAACAGATGGAGAAGAGCTGCCGATAAATCAGCCGCCCTGAGACAGATAAGGCCGGTTTCCAAGTCGTTCTCCATCTGTGTCTGGTTTAACTTTGTATTATTTAGAAAGCGCAGGTGTGACCGGGCCTCTAAATAAGACAGACTGTTAAAAATCCGGCGAGCTTATTGCTTCCTTCATCGGCTTGGTGCTGCGTTAATGGGTTTTAAATGAGGCACAGAAGATAAGTCTTAAAACGGCAGCTGTAGGGGCTCCCCAGTGGCTCAGGTAGGAAAGACGCGTGTCGGTGCGCAAGATGAGCCCTGTGGCCCTGGCATCGCCGGTCCGAGTCCGGAGCGTGCTGGGTGCTGGCTGTGCCCGGGATCCCCTGGACAGGGGTGCTGCGGGAGCGGCGTGTGTAAAATGGCAGATGGCTCAAGCGCCTGTGAGGAGAGTGCGCGGGGTCCTCGCTCTCTCCGTGCTGCTGGCAAGTCCAGATTGTGGGGGTACACCAAAGGGAAGAG